ACGAGATGGCAAAGCCCATTCACAAGATCCGTGCCTCCAGTCCAGCCTATAGAAACCAGGCTCCACGTATAGCTCTGCTCACAGGAAAACTTGTTAATATGAAGACAGGTCGATGGGAGTTTCACGTCAGTCACGTCCTATGGAAGCATGTCCTAGGCTGGTCTCCCCTTCCACGGGAGGAGCCTGGTGGCACAGGGTGGGTGGCGTAAGAACTTCTGCAAAGGAGAACAAACCTGAATGCTGTGAATAGTCTTAATTTTTTGTCATAAATCTCGCCAGTGCCTCTCGCAGCCTTGGACAAGAGTGTCCTCAAGGGACGAGGTACACGCGGCGCACAGGAAGGGATGTGCTGGGCCAACAAGAGCGATACTCTGCCGTCTGGCTGCTGCAGCTTTCTCCGAGCCAGCGGCCTTTCTTCACCCCCCCCCCCCACCTCCAGTCTTTAAGTTACATGACTGGAACTGCAGTGGAACTAGAGCTGGCTTCCACGGAACGCCTTTAGAAACACGTGCCCCTCGTTCACAGGCCTGGTGTGAGATGTGGGTTCTGTCGTTAGAGCAGAGACCCTCAGGGCTGGTCAGCCCTGCGCTCCGAAGGACACGTGGATGCTCCAGTCCCTATAATGCCAAGTCCTAGCAGCCAAACAAGGAGCGTATTCCTTCTCCTCTCCCAAATGTGGGCATTATTTGTATTAGTGTTAATAATTTGTGTTGTGTTTGCTAAATAACCGAGGTGAGCGACCTTCCTGGCCTTGGGAGTTATATACCAAACCCATCACGTGAGTCGGGGCCTGAAGACACCGTAACTGTTAGAGAGGCCGGGAAGGGGGATTCCAGGAAAATGCTGCGAACAGAAGGTGACAGCAGATTTCCAGAGGCTTCTCAATGGCAGAGGGGGTCTGGGTGAGCAGCTGGCTTGTGCCAGGGCTGAGGGAAATCAGCTTTAGAGCCTTGCTGGGCCCCCCTTCCTACGGCGGGGTTGTGGGCCACCTAGCAAAGCAAACCCCGTGTTTGTACAGCTCCGCTGCAGCTCGTAGGGTGTTGTCCCTATGGAGAGGTTCACTTTGCTTATAAAAAAATCGGTGCCTGAAGAGGGGCAAGCTGGCTGCCTCGGCCGTCTGACACAGGTGAACCGGGAGCACTGGGAACAGAGGAAGGAGGAGGCCTGGATCTCAGGCAGCCGTGAAGAATGCCTCCCACCGCCCAAGCTGGGGTGTTCTCCAGGTCGACCTGGAGGACGGTTTGGATGCTGGGGGTGTTCTTCTCACAGGCCGCAGCTGGGAGTGGGACTAGATGCACATTCAGCTTGCACGGCCAGAGCCTGTTGGGAAAGTCAGGCTGATGAGATCTGCAAAGCCCCTGGAGGCATACGGCCTCCCCGTTGCCTTCTCCTCGCGACCCAAGGCAGGACCTGCAGACCTTCAGTGCCAGCGCCTGGGGCAAGAGGAGTCTCAGCTCTGTGCTTCGCACGGCGGGAGGCATGATCCCCCTCCAGAATGTCTCAGCACGCAGGAGATGCTTTCCATTATGGAAAATGCCAGTGATATTAAAAAGATTATATCTATCCATAATACTTGAAGGCCTGTCAGTGATTAAAATGGAAGGCAGAGGCCGGGAGAGAGGGGGTGGCATTGAAACGATCGAGAGACATGACTTATTTTGTCATGTCATCTGATGCCTCCCTCTCTCCCCCTGCCAGGCTCCGGTAGCTGTTCGGAGCAGGGGAAGAATCCGCTCCAAATTTAGATTCTGGCAAAAAAATTTTAACGAACCCAAATTGCAACCGTGGCCTTGGGTACCAGAGAGGGAGCTGCGTTATGGGGAGGGCGGGGAGGGTCGGCAGCCCTCGGAGGCGCTTCCCAGCCCGGGGACGTTGATTTCTGCCTGAAAATAATGGGGAGGGAGGGAGGGAGGGGAAAAAAAAAAATAAAATAAAGCAAAGCAAGCAGCGGCAAGCAGCGGCTGGCTGGCTGCCAGCGAGGGG